AAACGACGCCGATGGAGAGGCCTCAAAAAGCGTCTGCCATTTCGAGATGGCCCTGGCCCACATGGCCGTCTCATTCTCCTGAAACGATAAGTCTGCCTTATTATGTCGTATGACCTTAGAAAAGACATCTGCACTGTGGTCCCTACGCGGCAGCTTAGCTGAGGTTCCTTGGTCAAGATTGGATCGTTGTCCAACCTGAGGCTCCTGAAGAGTTGTGGTTTCATCCACCGGCAAAATCACCTGAGGAGTCGGCAGGGAGCACTCCAAAATCGGCCGACCCTGAAAGATGTCCCTAAAGACTCCTTGCTCCCACGGCAACAGCACCTGGGGCTGTGCAGCCGCCACGACAACCTGGCCTGATGTCAAAACTGGCAATGCAGGTTCTCCCTCTGAGTCACTGTCGGGAGGCACTTCGGCTGCCCGCAAACCTGACATGTCCCCATTCGAGCCTGTGATGGCGCGCGGAGGGTGGATTTTTGGCTTTGGCATCATTTCACAATTGTATTCAACTTACTGGCAAGGGGATGCTGCATTCACCAGTGCATCGCTCCCTGCATTTTGCAAAGGTGCCAAAACTTTGAGTCTCTTGCTGAAGCTGGCTACACCGGCCATGGCACGGAAATTCCCTTCAGGACTGCGTTCCGGGGGTGCAGCAACATGTGGTCTCCGGAGCGAGCGCTTCCAGCGTCTCGACACGCAGCATTCAGGTGGAACATCCCCCCTTCGACCTGGGGTGTGTTCACCTCCAGCCGGCCTTCCAGGGTGAGGATAACATCTTTCCCTTTGGCCCTGGCCGCCACCTTAGTGATGGAGGAACGAATGGAGCCCTCGCTGAACTCATTGCAGCTCCCTCGGCCACTGAAGCCATAAGTGGGGAACTCCCCCTCAGTGAAGTCCCCAGGGGCAAGTTCACCCAGCTGCCCTACTCCCAAAGCGCTCGTCCACGGCAACCCGTGCGAGATGGTCAATGAGTTGCGGTGGTTGGCTGGCTCCTTGTAGGAGGGGCCGTGTATGGTGGTTGGGAAAAAGACCACCATCTGGCCAGGAACCTTGAAGATGCTGCCCTCAACAGCTCTCCCTTCAACTTGAAAGACTGGCCTGTTGTTTTGCTTGAACCAGGCGAAGATGCAAGCGCACCTCTCCAGGACCGGCTCAGGCAGCATCCCGGGTCCATCCGGGGGGCCCACAAAGTAACCCCGGAGGAGGTCACGGTACTCATCCACCAATGCCCCGTCGATTTGTGTGCGAGCGTCCTTCCATGACATGCTCCACCAGGCCGTCAAGCGGCCATTCTTGACCAGCTCCCTAGCACACAAAGGCCTATCGGGATCAGCCAAGGCCTGCTGCGCGGCCTCCTGCCATAGATGGGCGTGGAAGCCCTCTTCCTCGCGCTCGGCCTGCCGAGCTGCAGCCGCCTCAATCTCTTCCTTTGTGGCCTCCGCCACTTGGTAAGGATCTCCCCCGGGGGCAGCTGGCGCTGCGGCAAAAACTTCGCCTCCCTCCGGAGGCTTGTCCTTGGGGTCTGGTTTGGCCCAATCACGGCCTTCGTCCTTCTTGGGCCATTTGTTCCAGCCCTTCTCCCTTTGCTGGCCCCAGCCCTGGTTCCATTTGCCGGAACTGCCACTGCCACGCTGGCTCCAAGTCTGCTGCCCCCAGGTCTTCTGGGGTGGCTGCCAATGCTTCCGCTGCCATGAGCTGGAGGCCTCCACTTGGGCTCCGCGCTGTTGTTGAGGCCATTTCTGAACAGGGGGCGTTGGAGGGGGGGGAAGCGGGGCCTGGGCCACAGCAGGCCCTGTTCCTCCATGAAGGACCGTCTCCGGGATTTGGCACCAACGGTACCCTGGCTCTGCCACTGGCAAGTGAGAGGATGCCTCTGAACGACGGCTGCGGGGTGACCTGCCCCTGCTCCGCTCACGGGACCGTGTCCTGTCCCTGCGGCGTCTGTCACGCCTTCTGCGGCGAGAGTCACTGCTGCTCTCCCTGCGCCGACGGCTGCGGCCGCTCTCAATCCCGGGCATAAACATCCACGGCAACATCTTTTTGGCCTTCCGCCTCTTGATTTGGCAGCCTTCGCTGCTCTTCTTGTTTCTCTTGTTCCTTCTTCTTTCCTTTTTCTTTTTTTTT